TGCTGAACCATTCCATATCTACCTGAGCCCTGAAAGGACAGCAAAATGAGGATCGGGTGGATGGCCCACAAAGCTCTTCATGATCCCTGCAAACAGTCTGCAAGCACACATCTCCAGTTACCACCACTGTCTCAAAATCACACCGTCCACACACAAAAGAAGTGAGCCAAAAAAAACCAGATGCCAAAGAGGCTCAGCTGTGGTATATGTCCTTCTAGACACAAACTTTTCTCAGCAAGAAAGAGAAACCATCCCCTCATAAGATATCTCGAAAACAGAGTTAATACCAATGTGCAAATAAAATCCTATTGTCAGAGATAGCAGTGCTACCCATTTCTAAGAGAAACTACCATTTTCTTTGCATCCAGCACAACTTCAAACCATTAATCCTTCATACAATTCCACTGATTTTTGTTGTGCTTGATGGAGGATACTACATCTAGAGATGTTTGCACAGATCTGTCAGAGCCTATGCTCCCATTGCAGGAGATTCACAACTGTGAGTGTACAACAGTACTTCGTTAGGTCCACAAAACCAGAAAAAATATAATGGAATATAATGCTATTTTACTCCTTCTGGCCAAACACTATTTCCTCTGTGCCACTCCACAGTTTCAGACCCCACCTCTGTAGTGTTCCCCACCAATCCAGCCACCACCAGCAGACAGGCAGGCACCTTGCCTCCTGGAAGTGACAGTCCTTAAGACAGTGCTGAAAAGTCCTAGCTATTACCAATAGCTATGAGTACACCACAGTAACTCCTGAAGAATTTTCCATTCATCCTCAGTAAAAGCAGCAGAATCACAGAATCATTTAGGTTGGAAAGGACCTTTGAGATCATCAAGTCCAACCGTTAACCCATCACTGCCAAGCCCACCACTAAACCATGGCCCTAAGCACCACATATCACATCTTTTAAATCCCCCCAAGGATGGGGACTCAACCACTTCCCTGGACAGCCTCTTCCAGTGCTTGATAACCCCTTCAGTGAAGAAATTTTTCATAACATCCAACCTAAACCTCCCCTGGTGCAACTTGAGCCCATTTCCTCTTGTCCTATCACTCGTTACTAGGGAGACCGACCCCCACCTCGCCACAACCTCCTTTCAGGTAGCTGTAGAGAGCAATAAGGTCTCCCCCCTGGCCACGCTACCTCGATGTCCTTCTTGTGGTGAGGGGCCCAAAACTGAACACAGCACTCGAGGTGCGGCCTCACCAGTGCCGAGTACAGGGGCACTGTCACCTCCCTGGTCCTGCTGGCCACACTATTCCTGATACAAGCCAGGATGCCATTGGCCTTCTTGGCCACCTGGGCACACTGCTGGCTCATGTTCAGGTGGCTGTCAACCAAAACCCCCAGGTCTTTTTCCACTCAGATGCTGATTTTTATTTCTGGGTAGGCATGACACATTAATAAAGAATCATAGCTACATTTTTTTTTTTCTTAGCAGTGGTTACAGTTTTTAAGGAAAGATTAGAAAGAAAAAAAAAGATAAAACACAGATATGCATAATAGGTATAGGTGTAATCTGGAGAAAATACTAGATAACAACTAGCCCATATGAAACAAGAAACTACCTGGTGGGAAATAACGTACAAAAAATTCATTGCCTTTTGATATGTGGTATACATTAGCTTTCTATTTACTTGTCTTGCTGATTTGTACTCCTGCCTATCATTATACTGGAGTGTTATTTTTGTTTTATCTCCAAATCTGTAGACTACAAGAAAACCAAATAAAGCTAAAGGAATAACTGAAAGAAAAATCCCATGTTAGCAAGAGGCCACTATTAAAACTATTACAAAATTAATTCACGATCATTTTGCCTAGATACTTGCAATGACACACTTCAGAACATTTCAGCAAATGCAACTTCAACTTTTAAATCTTTTAAATCAGTATCACAGAAAGTTTATAACCTTATCTAGCCACTTACCTACTCTATAAACCTATTTGAACTAAATTAGTGATATTATTTTCTGCAAATACTTTTAAATTGATTTTAAAGTGCTTTGAATTAGTTATCTTAATTAAACATGGACCTTGAATACCTTGATTTAAAACTCAGTGCAGGTTTATGCATGGACTAAGTAACTAACTCCTGTGTAAGCACTTTCATACAAATGCTATGTCCTTTTCTGGGGCTCCTCTAGCATATTACTGTGCCTTGTACTGACTGGAACTTACTTAGAAAAGGCATTTTGCCTTTGGAGAAGTCTTTCAATTTAATTCCCAAGGACATTATGGAAGAACAATTCCAGTAAATTTTGATTTGTTAGTGGAGTAGTTTTAGTTATGAGGAAAGTTGCTATACTTACATTTCAAGAGACTGAAATATTACACAGGCACATCGTCTAATGAGAAAATTATTTTTTTTCCTAAAGCAGCTGTAGTAAAAATTAAACAGGAAAAAACTGAAAACTTCAAATATTAGAAAGTCCTAGTTCTCAAGTGCACCTGGTTTTCAAAACCCTTTACTGTTAGCTTCTTCATGTTTCGAGATCATGGGACAGTAACCGTCCTCACTCTGTTACCATAGCTTTAGCTAAGTTTCAAGCATTGAACTCAAGACTGCCATAAAAGCAAGTTTACTCTTATTTTATCAGTAGGCAAACTTGACTGATTTATGGACATAGGGGAGCCTAGAATCTGGAAATTCTAGTTCAGTGTCTTGTTCAGAAGCTCATGATACCTGTGAGGTCCCCATTTCCAAAGCTGCAGTATACAGCACCCCCACTTAGTCTGCACAACTGCCTAAGGAAACTGTTTTACATAAGGAGAATCCTGCAGGCCCATCCATTCGGGAATAAATAATACTCCAGTGCAATGATTTCAGTCACACATCAGAGCAGTTATAATAAAATCCCTTTGCTGCTGGGACAGCTGGTCACATGAAAGAATTAACCCACGAGTTAATTATTTCTGGGGTAACCCATTAAAAGAACACATATGTCTTTTACAGGCACCAAAAAGATTCCAGGAACAAGCCCCAACCCCTTCAGGGCCTCACATACAAATACAACATTGAGCAGCCTACCTTGTACAGCCAAATGTCTGTGTAGCCATACACCCTGCTCCCGTTCTAGGGCATTGTGAGAATGAGAAGGGACATTCCAGCACCACCTCAGCTTGACGTGGTGTGTAGTACCAGATTTTCCCCACACCCCCCATGTATTGCCACCCCAGAAGGGGAAATGTAAGCCCACATATGAAAGCTCACCCTGAACACTGCCCTCAAAGAGCACAGCAAAAAACCCCACACATTAATCCTCTCTGGCACCTTTGACAGCACCTCAGCCTCTTGGGAAATGCTCCCCCTCAGCACTGACAAGAATTTTAGCCCCTTACAAGGGCACATAGTGATAGGACAAGAGGTAATAGCTCTAAACTGAAAGAGGGTAGATTTGGAGTAGATCTAAGGAAGAAATTTTTCACTCTGAGGGTGGTGAGGCACTGGAACAGGTTGCCCAGGGAAGCTGTGGATGCCCCATCCCTGGAACTGTTCAAGGCCAGGTTGGATGGGGCTTTGAGCAACCTGGCCTAGTGGAAGGTGTCCCTGCTGACGGCAGGGGGGTTGGAACCAAATGATCTTTAAGGTCCCTTCCAACCCAAACCATTCTATGACTCTTTCGCCTCACCAATGGAGAGGCTGCAGCTGAGGGGTGGCTGCAGTGCCTCCT